AGTCAATTCAGTTCACTGTTGTCAGAGAAAGATGAATGTTGTTGGATTGTTATGGATAACATAGGTGTTGGCTTGTTATAATAGTGTAATAAATAGGACTGGCAAATTCTCTTTTATGTGAAGCATCCTAATTGGAAGGAAATAGTTGGTTTCCACATTTTGGGATCCACGGCTAAAGCAGCAGTATTGCCTTACCACACCCATACCTCTGCTTTAGATAAAAAAAAATAAAAAAAAGCACTGCACATTTATAACACACAGCAGTGTGCTTTACAACTCTGCATTGCGTTCCACTTGCTTTGGGACTAGGTTGAGCGCATATAAAGTGAATGGAAAAAGAAATAAAACTCTTGAGAACCTCATCATGCTACCTGTCATAGTAATGTGACCTGTCTCTCCTCCAATCATGGAGTTCTCTCTGCTTCAGGATATCAGTGGATATGGAGTAATTTGTGGTGTTGGTGTATAGCAGAGAGCGTTATCTGCTCTCTGCTATCAATAGCCTCCATATAAGAGATTTAGTCAGCAACTACCCGTAGTACACAAGTTTGGGCAGTATTTGTAATCATTTTTAAAATTGGTCACAATGCTCCCCTTTGGTTTGCGAGGATGATACAGCACTCGAGTAAGCATTGGGTCTGCTTAGGGCTTCCATAGAGGATGATAATTAGCTCTTTTGACTGATTGACATCAGTAAGCTGAGTGGGATGCCGGACAGAGCCTCTGACAGCATGGCACACCCCCGCCCCCCGCCACAGCATCCTGCCGACCAGGGACGTCACTGGTTGCCAAGAGCTCTGCTGGACACCTGCAGGGGCTTGGCGGTAGACGCCCCCTGCCTCCTCAGGCAGCAAAAAAAAAAAGAATCTAGGTACAACACTGGCTGAAGTCATACTGTAGGAGATATGCTGAGACTAGGGACATGCTACATTAAAGTGGTAGTGATCACTGTTATTAAAAGCTCCTTTACAAATCAATGCTCCCACTACTGACTGCTGGGGCCACGGGATGTGCACCAGGGCTCTATTTAATCTTCAAATAACTGTACAATGTAATAAAATAAAATAAATGATGGGAGGTTTCACTCTAACATTAAAGTGTATGTAAGACTAAAACTATTTTTTTAGTTTTGGATAAAGTAGGCAAGGGTTAAAACCCCGAATAGGGTTTTTTGTGCTCCTTCTGAGGGAAATTTCCTTCACTTCGTCTCTTGGAAATGCAACAGGAAGTGAGAGGAAATCTCTCCAAAATGAGGGGAGTTCATATTTTAAACAGTTGTCACCAGAACCTTTGCCCCTGTTGGAAGATTTCCCTTTACCCCTTGCTCTCATGACAACTCTAAAATTTAGGATTTCCCATAACTTTCTGATAATAGTAGCAAGGACAAATGGGTTGAATCTCCCTAGCATGAATACAGACATCAACAAAACATGACAGAGGGTCAAATCTTTTAGTTTTTCCTTTACATACACTTTAATAAATGAACATCACAAGGCAATTTTCTTATTTTTGTTCAAACTTTATTAAAAGTTAGGTGAAATACAAACAATTCTTAGACATCTTGTCACCTGTACTTGAACGCAGGAAGCCCATATTTCTGTAATCTTGAAGGATGGCAAGAACCCCTCACATTGTTCTATTTATCAGACATTATCACTGTTCAATTGTGGACTTTATTGCTAAATTGATCTCCTTAAGACTTCAGCCATACCTTCCAATGTTGATTCACCCAGAACAGGTAGGTTTTATCCCCTTTCATTCAGCTTGAGAAAACACAATCGGGACCATTTCCCTGATGCTGAAACATGACTCCCCTTTATTACTTCTTTTTGTGGATGTCGAAATGGCATTTGATCATGTTGCCTAGAGCTTTTTTTCCCGCTACTCTCTGACAAATACAAGTCCTACCCCTATTGTTTGAAAAGACATGGTGCTCTACAACAGACCCTCAGCCCATGTTCGTGTCAATGGCCTTTTGTCAGATCCGATGGCTATTCACAACGGCACTTGACAGGGTTGCTCTCTGTCCCCTTTTCTCTATGTACTGGCTATGGAGCACTTGGCGAGGGCTCTACAGTACATATGAATCTTTCTATTCAAGGGGTTCACGTTTAGAGCTTCATCATAAGGCGAGTTAATATGCAGACAATTTGTTGTTGCATCTTTTCAATCCCCCTGTAGCTTGCCCATCCCTATTGCAGGAATTTCAGATATTTGGGTGTCTCAGCAATTTCAAGGTTAATACTCAACAATCTGTTGCCCTGAATGTGACTTTCCCGCTTGCGAAGCAACATGCCCTTTTCACCTCCTTTCCCTTTCAATGGGCCATGGGCTTAATTAAATACCTACAGGTCCATATCCCTGGATATGGATGTTTCTAAATTATATAACCTCAGTTATGTCCCACTACTCCAGTGCACCTCCAAGGAGATTCACGTAATGAATGGTCCACTGCCAAGCACTCTTTGGCTCTTATGCTTGGATGTGTTGCCATGCTTCTTGTACATTTTTCCGAACTTGCCCATCTCTGTTCCTAAATTTTTTTTCTCCAAACTGCATTCCACTATGCTTCGGTACCTATGGGCCTGCTCTGTACCCCACTTGCACTTTGAAATTTTGGTAAGACAAAAACTTTTGGGGGGACTGGGTCTCACTCACTTTGAACTTCAGCGTAGTTTTGTCCTGAGTGTCTTAAAATATTCACATTGATGCATAAACTTAATATTGCCTCCTCGGTGCAAGAGAAAAACTATATAATACTTATATGGTGGTACGGAGTTCCTGTGACTTTGCATAACATCTTTAAGACAATATCGGACAGGTGCTGGTGGTGCCACTTTGCACAGGGAACACTGCTACACATTTGGTGGACGTGGCTACCCATATTTGCCTTCTGGTCCTAGCTCTTTGACATTTTTGGGCCGGTTACTGGGCCTACAGCTGAAATATTCCTCATCTCTCTACTCCCTGGCTCTATCCTAAAAAGGTTTCTCATGCTTTTTTATTTTATTTTTATGGTTCTAGAGTTGTGATTCCAATGCATTGGAAAACTTCTCTAGTACCCTCTGTTCAGGATTGCTGAAATGTTCTGATTGCAACACATGATGGCTCATCTGCATGACAAATTTGAGCAATACACCGTTACATGGAGTATTTGGATAGCCTTTCAGAGGTCGGACTCTTTTCAAAATATTTGTGTTAATGACTGTTAGCCATTGTGTCGGACTTTAGGCACCCTTTTCCTGGTGGAAATCTTACTTTTTTGCCCCTTTCCTTCTCTTCCTTCCCTTCTCCCTTTTCTTCGACTCTTTTCTGTCTTCTGTTCTCTCTTCTTTCTGTTTCTGGTCTGCTCAACTGCTTTGGTAGTTTTTTTTTTTTGGAAGACCTTACAAACCGTTACTATAGCCATGCTCCTAGAATGTAAATGTTATTCTTAAATGCTCTTAACTGATTTTGTTGTAGAAAGACTCATTTTGTATTATTATATGGCCATTCCTTGCTTGTTTGTACTGTCCTGTTTTGTTGAAAATTAATAAACTTCTATTATTTAAAAAAAGTTAAGTGAAATTCAAAGATCTACTTTACAAAACAAGTAAAAACATCAAACAGCTGAACAACTAAGTTGAAAGTAGTCTAAACTGTTTTCCAGCATTTTCTGTTTTAGTCAACCAATTGGCAGTAGTGTAGATAAAATCCTGTTTCAAAAAGCTGATATTTTGTCCCTTAGTACACTTCTTGCTAATCTGATGATTGTCTTAGTTTCCTAGGAGATTCATGTTGTTAAGGTGGTCTTTCAGATTTAAAAAAAAAAAAAATTGCCATTGCATTTTCTTAAGTTTCCAAGGCAACTGTTTGTGTTGGCTTCCAAAGAAACTGTACTAAGCGGGTTGCTGGTGTTGAAATACTTCACGTAATCCCTGCTTGTTCATGGAAATCTGCTGGTTATCAATATGAGTTTTTAAGGTCAGGCAAAAGAAAAACTATTTATTGGTGGCCCATAAGATGCAGGTACTACTTGTACCTTCAACTGCTGAATGCTGCAGTCCGCTCCATTCCATAAGCACTGGATGCAAAGGATTTAAAGGTAATCTGTGGTGATTTAGATAAGGGTCTTTGCTGGTCCATATTTTAAATCTTGTTTTTCCGATACCAATTTGTAAATGTTCCTAACCAGTTATCTGCAAATTGGGAAATGGATTAACATTCCCTGTTTAACCACTTTGTGACTGCAATACCCCTTGAGGTCCTCACACACAATGTCCCTTGCCTTGAAAAGAGCAGTGTTGCAGCCAGGACTGTATTTACAACAAGGCACAGTAGGCACTTACCTGTAGACACCAGAGCCAATGAGGCGGCTTCTTTCTGTGTAATTATTGGTCATGCAGGAATATCCATCTTATATAAGTTAAAGCAGAAATATGGGGTGAGTGAAATACACTCATCCCCATAATTAGAGCCCATGTGTGACACTGAAGTTGTCACACGTCGGCTCTATTGATCTGGAACTCAGCGAACACATACTGCCAATTGCTGAGTTCCCGATCTTCTCCCTGCAGAGATTGGTGACTGTCAGTTGCCGCTCCCCACAGGGATTCCCCCTTCCCCTCTCCATTCCCCTCAGCGCTGACTGGAGGGATGGACGGAGGAGGGGGTGGACACAGCTGGCTCTGGTTTTAGAGAGGCAGAACCAGGTGTCATTTTACTGGCTTTTTATAATAAATAAATATAATGCAATAATTTAGCGGTTGGATGAAATATCTAGTGTTATATAACAGTTTAGGTAGTTAAATAGTAAATATTTATAGAGTTTAATACATCAGACCAAAATGAGGGACAGAAAGAAGGACAGAGGTAATTAGTTTCAAAATAGGGACACTCCCTTCAAATGACAGACAGATGGAAGCCATGCAAAGATTGATGCTGCTTTTAATACAACTATTGAACAAAAGAACAAAAGTTACTTTTTGTAAACTATTTTTAACCTCAAAGCTGGTACTTACACTTATATTTGTCTGTGTCTGTGGCCTCATTTCATATGGAAAGTTTTCATAAGTGTACTTGTCAGATCTCCTTTGTCGCATCTTAAAAAGCCTTGCCCCTCGGTTGCTTACCAGAGACAGTTCCTCCAACATGATGTCTTTAGGCACACTGATCTTTTTTCCAAAGTGAAGGCTATCCGACTCTGCAAAAACACAGAAACACACATTTATTCTCTCTGAGACTATTAGTTGCTTCATTATTAGACTGCAGGGCCCTTGTCGTGGTAGGAGGGACATTCTGATGCTACTGCAAGAGTTAGGAGTCATACATTACTTGACTGTTGTCATATATTACTTGACTGATATTTATGACAATATTTCATTCAAAGATTTGTCTGTTCAAAAGAAACAGATTATCAAATGACACCTACTTCAGTGCATTAAATGATTTATGTTCTAATGTTTGTACCTTCACCATGCAGAAAACGTTCAATCGGAATTGAGTCACTCATTTGACATATAAACTATAACTCAGACTTCATCAACCTGCTTGCTCTAGAGAATCCCTGTAATTCATTTTCAGGTATCAGGAAACCCTTGCCAAAAATGATTATATTTTCAGCTTGCAGTGTAAGGGTGATTAGCAAGTCAGAGTTATTATAATAAATAAAAGAATAATGAATGTGGCATTTAACACCCATGATAGGTCATTTTAAACACCCCCTGCTCTATCATTTCTATATAGCTCTATAATTAATTATAATCAAATCTATTTTCAGCAACAAATAAAGCAAACCCTAATAGTCGGAAAAGAAACACAGGCAGTGAAAATTGCAGCATTCACTTACACTAGTGGTTGCTCAAGAAATGTCCACTTACATTGCTGGTAAGTAAAGTGCTACCTTACATTGCAGGTCAATGTAGTACGCCAGTGAAATGTTGGTCAGTGTAGAAATGCTTCTTTATATTGGTAATCAGTAGTAACGTGCTCAATGCATGGGTGGTCAGTTTGGTGCCACCTTACTTTGCTAGTTGGTACAGTCCCCCTGTACATTGGTGGTCTGTTTTGTGCTCTCTTATATTGTGGCTATAAGAAGAAATGCTCCCCTTTACAATGGTGTTCAGTGGTGTAAAACTCCCTTACATGGGTGGTCAGTGAGGAAATTCTAGTCAGGGGAGAGGTTCTACTTACATTGCTGGTCAGTGTAGTGCTCCTGCACATTGGTGGTGTATAACTGCTTTCTTACATGTATGGTCAGTGGTGATGTTCTCCTTTACATTGGTGGTCAGTGGAGAAATTCTCCATTTTACTGGTGGTCATTGGTAAGGTGCTCACCTACATTGGTGGTTAGTAGTGAAGTGCTCCCTTCCACTGGTGGTTAATGGAGAAATGCTAGATTTGTGGTCAGCTGAGAAGTGGTTTGCATCTCATTTTAGAAATGACTCCTCATCACAGGGGTGATACCAGGACAGGAAGCGAGGGAAAATCATAGCAAGGGAAACATGACAGCAATAAAAAAACCACACAGAGGTTCTAATTCTTCTCTCTATTCATAAAAAAATGTAAAATAAAATATGGTTGAAATTCCAGTTTACACCGAGAACTGCAATTTCAACTGGAATTTCAACTTACTGTGATTTTTAATGATCATACTAACAATAGAGGACAAGTGAAATTTAAAGGTCAAAATTATATTTTTATTTTAACTCTGAAAGATTTAATTATATGCTGGATTTTTATTCCTCTGGAGACTACGGGTGCTGGGATTTCCAAGTAGTAGTTTGTGGCTCCTTCCTCCCTCAAGACAATAACAAATGTGTTACACCCCATTGTATGTACCAGTTATCAACTGTGCGTTATGGAGATTCTGTTGGAAGTCTGTGACACCATCATTTGGCTGTTAAAGGCTGTGGAAATTGGTTGGTACTGAAAAATATGGTGAGAAAATCCCACCGTTGGTGTTTGAGACATATGTGCACACCCAAAAAGTGATTCAACATGCCAAAAACTAAAACTAAATGAAGCATCAGTTTTGCTTAAAACTTTCCTTTATTTATTTTGTAAAGTTACTGGTTTCCTAACTATTAGAAGAAAAAAGTCATCCATTTAGATAATGAAATTGCATTATGTAACTATCTGCCTTGACACATTTCCAAAACTGCATTCTTAAATCAAATCTGTTCTTATTCCCGTCAAGTCCTAATCAATGTCAGGAGCACAACAGAAGCCTACACATGCCATAACTACTGGCACCTCGAGCAGATGCCAGTCATGTGGTCAGGGCAAATACCGTCATCATGTCTACATCAAGCAAGATCACACACATTTTCCATGGCTGCCTGCCAAAGCAGTTGGGAAGACAACATACTTGATTTTGTTTTTATTCCTGGTAATTCAGGAATGGAAATGAGAAGTTTGTTTCACACAGATATGAGAGTGGCATGGTCTGGCCTGTGGTCAGTGATAATATTTATTTCCATACAGCAGCCTACTACTCTTGGTCTAAAAACAAAATTCTGTTTTGAAAACAGTTTTCTTCTGATTGAAAATGTATAAAATTATATATAGATATACAGATATGAGAAACACAGATATGATTCAAATAATTGACAGTAAAGGAGTGTCTGCTGAAGTATAATAAACACATCCCGCAGCTGTTTTGATAAAGGGGGTTTTGGCTCAGAGATGCGCTATGGAGGTCAACAAAAACCTGCTTCATCTGCAGCTTGTTTTACCACCAAAACTTTGTAGGGTTGCTAAGGGTCATTCCTGAGAGCCAATGAGCTTAATACATCAGTTTGGACAAATGCTGTTTGATTAGGCTTTAGCTCATTGCAGACAGACGTCTCTACCACAACAACATCTGTCCATTGTTTGTAGTTCTAGGACCTGGTAGGGGTAGCTGTGTGACTTGACAATGAAGTCAAGGCAGTGTATATGAGGTTAAAGTGTATGTAAAGGCAAAATAAAAAAGACTTATGTCCTACATTACATGCACATTTCCCCATGTCAACCTTTAAAGACCCTGCAAATACAGAAAGCTGTGGTAGGAATGCATTCAGCTACTAATTCCTGGTGGGCTGACAACACACAGCAATTTTGTGGACTGAGAGGTGAGGGAGATTTGTCCATCCACACTGTTTAGTGTCAGATTTTGTTCAGCCCGCAGGCTGAACGATAACAACACAACAGAGTATGGCCAGTTTAAGGGTGCCTCAGGTCGTCACAATCCTAGTAACATCCCTGGGAACCAATCAAGAATTAGCTTTCAGGGTAACAGGCAGACTATGAGAGCCGGCTGCCATTTTGTAGATTCAATCAGGTTGCTGTGGCACACTGGTGTACCACCTGGCCTGCTCAGGGGGGTGCCTCAAAATTTTGTGGTAGTGGGACTGTAATGTGAAGGGGGCAATGAAGACTGAGGTGAAGGGGGCTCCTGATACAAAGGGTGACTCTGATTTGAAGAGGGAATCTTGATAAGAAGATGGCACTTCAATGTGAATGGGAAACCCACTTTTGTGTGGGGTCTGATTCTGGCCGGAACGACTGGATCGCACTGCAGCCGGCTCACTTTGTTGTGGAGCGCGAGGGGGCATGACGGTGCACTGACCTCAATGGCACCGTGGCCACGCCCTCCGGCTGCAATGCGATCGGCCACACGGGAACGCAAGGCACATCAATGTCTGCGGTTCGGTCCAATTTTTTTTCTGACCGTGTTTTTTTTTTTTAATGGTCATTCACAATAAGTCATCAGAAAGACCAATCATCTGTTTGGCACTTTTATCTACTGTACCTTGGTCTTAGTGAAATAACTTACATAGCTAGTTACATATCTGCCCCAATTCAGTAGAACATGAGAAACAGGATGCAATTGTTTCTTTATGGCTAGCTGTGTTTGAAGGAAACTGATTAATAATAAAGGCATTGCTAATAGGTCTGTTCCCACACTACCCAGTCTTATAGCAAAGGTAGCAACATTTTTCAATGTGCACTAAACAAGTGTGTTTATGCCAGCCTTTTGTGGGATTACTAAGAACCTTGCAGGAAAATGTGCTTTTCCTGGGCTGATCCTTTACTCCGAGCTGACTGTAAAACTACATTCCTTTTTACCAGAACAAGGATTTGTGTGACATACATTCCAGAAGCATGTTATGCCACTGGACAGATTCTATTTTGTAAACTTTATCTTTACCAAGGCTACAAAGTTAAAGTGGTGGAAATGATGAAGATAGATATATGGACTATTATTCCCGGTGCTGTCGACCCGAGCCCAGCATCACTACACAGTTACTGACCTGGATCAAATAAGCAGAATGAAAGTTTACACATTTCAGATTTCACTGGCTATATGCTTGTTCTCGACCAGTGATTCCCTAGGTAGCGAAGCCAGGATCAGGATGACAGTCCTGGAGCATGTAGCTTTAAAAGAAAAAAGTCAGCAATAGTTGCTGCCTTATTTCTGACTTTGCAAAGTACAAATGAAATATTAACCAATTAGCATAATGTTTTTCATGAATTGCCTCCCTATTGGAGTAAATAGCACCTGAAGCTGTAACATTTTACCTTGCCTTCCACCTTAATGGGATTAAAGGGAATCAAGGCATGCTAACACTGATGTTGTACAACAGGTATCACAAGGTCCAATCCTCACTGCATGCCGCCCAGTTCCAATTGCACCACATATGGGTGTATGGTGCACACATATACACTCCTTCTTGCCTTCCACAATTTCGTACTCATTGCCTGAAAAGTGTATTAACAGATCCTAGCATTGTCATGTGGGGAGTGGGTATGCATATCCTGCCCTATGCACAAACAACTTTACATTTAAAGTAATTACTGGAGGACCCCAGTGTCATTTCGCTGGGGAAAGTGGTGAGAGGTCACTTTATGGTGTATTTTGAACAGTAACAGCATTTGTTTGCACTGTATGGACATAGTAAAGGCTTACCTGAATATCAGAGATGTAGAAAATCATTATGTGTTTGATGTGTAAGAAAAGTGGGCCACTGCACAATTTCATAATCATTGTAATGTAAAAGAATAACTCTACAAATACTAAAAGTCAAATCCTTAAAATATTCCTATTGTATTTTCTGTATAAAACTTGTGGCATTAGCCTAGGGTAGCAGAAAGCAGTAAGTTGCATGCTTATTGTTAGATGAGCAGTTTTATTTCTCAATTGACACAAAATCCTCACCA